TAGAATAGAATAGAATAGAATAGAATAGAATAGAATAGAATAGAATAGAACAACAGAGTTGGAAGGGACCTTGGAAGTCTTCTAGTCCAACCCCCTGCTTAGGCAGGAAACCCTACACCACTTCAGACAAATGGTTGTGTAATCTCTCCTTAAAAACTTCCAGGGTTGGAGCATTCACAACTTCTGATGGCAACTTGTTCCACTGATTAATTGTTCTGTCAGGAAATTTTTCCTTAGTTCTAAGATTTCAGGCCGTGTACAGCTATTTGTTTGCTTATATAGGAATTACGGTTTTCTGACTAGTGAACCAGTGAAGTAAAAATACAAATAAAAAATGAACATTGATAAATCTGTATTAAAACCTTTAAAAATGAATGGAAAACCGCAAAGGCAATTCTAAAATACCGAGTGCCCCTAAAAATGTAGAGACCAGATAAGCTTTTCACTGCTAGAAAGACTTAATCTTGGTTTGTCAAATAGTTCATTCATCTACATTTCAACCTAAGAAGTTTCAGCCTAAATAGTTAGTTGAGAGTGGGAGTGACCTTATTAGGCCCCATTAATCAAATTAGCAGCCTCAAATGCAACGGTAGGTATGGAATTATATTGACTGGGTTAAGAGCGAAGAAAGGATGGCCTAATCCTGATTTGTATACTTCCAAAAAGGTGAATATTTTTGCTTCCCTATAAAATTTCATGTTCAAATCATTCCTAGTAATAGATATTGCTGGGGTTTTAGAGAAACAAAATATAGATGTAAAATGCAACTTCCTATTTATTTCCTTTTTTAAAAAAAGGATCTATGCCAATTTTAATCAGCTGGTGATTTAAAATTTCACAATGCGAATATGTATATGTATGGTATTCAGCTTTGTTCGGGTATTTTCCCATGTCATTATAGTTGTGCTTGTAAAGTTGTAGCAACGTTTCGGCAGAATCTCATCTGCCATCATCAGGCTTCTGTATTGTGTTCATCAGACAAACACAATACAGAAGCCTGATGATGGCAGATGAGATTCTGCCGAAACATTGCTACAACTTTAAAAGCACAACTATAATGACATGGGAAAATACCCGAACAAGCTGAATACCATACATGTAAGTACCCACGAAAACTTAAGAAAACATATATATATATAGTCTGACTCACAGACAAACACAATACCGAAGCCTGATGATGGTAGATGAAATTCTGCCGAAATGTTGATGCGGTGAAATTGTGTGGAAATCAATTTTCAACATTTTGAATTTTTAAAATTAGAGAAAGGATGGAGGGAGGGTTAACTATTCAGGAGGACAGAACAGTTAAAACAGTGGGATGGCTTGCCTTCAGAAATTATGGATGCTCCATCACTGGAGATTTTAAAGAAGAGACCGGAAAACCACTTGTCTGAAATCTTTTAGGGTTTCGTGTTTGTGCAGGGAGTTAGATTAGAAGACCTCCAAGAAGGTCCCTTCCAACTCTATTATTTTGTCTCAGAAGTGACTTGGAGAATATTGTTACATGGAGAAATCAGCAGAGATTCAGCAGGGCCTTTCCACCTGATCTGATAAAGAATGATAAAAGAATTGCATTGGCATTAGGGAAACCCATGTTCAGCTCCCAGCTTTAGCCATGGAAGTTCACTTGGTAACGTAGTCCAGTCATTCTCTCTGAGGTCTGTCTATTTCACAGCATTTTTGCAGGGAAAAGGGGAAGACAGAGAGGCCTATATAGACAGGGTAGGAACTAATCTGCAAAACAAACGAACAGATTCTAGGCAATTCTTCCAAGAAAGATAAGGAGGTATCTCTTCTCTTTCTTCCCCTTGTTGGGTTTTAGGTGCGATTCCTTGAGCAACAGAACAAAGTCCTGGAAACCAAATGGGATCTTCTGTACCAACAAGGCTCTCCAGCACTAAGGGACAATCTTGAACCTATTTATGAGGCTTACATTGAAACTCTTCGAAGGCAGTTTGACAGCCTCTGCAATGATAAAAACCACCTGGACATAGAACTGAAGAACACCCAAGAGCTTGTGGAAGATTTCAAGAACAAGTAAGTAAAAATGAAAAAAAAAGTAGTTGATGTTGGGTGGATAATGTGGATTTCTGTCAAGAAGGCAAAGCAATGTGAGATGCCTTCCTCCCAATTATTGCAATTGCTCTTATGCTGTTTTTTTTTCACCATAGTTTCATGATTTGCTTTCCCTTCTCATTATTTGCAACTGGGTGGGCAGTCCTCTTTCAATTTATACCTAGTTGATTTGCCATGTATGGTCCTGTGCATAGGATCTGGCCAGGTATAATAGTCTCATATGAAGTATAGAACTTCTGCTGATACTTAGGGCAAGCAATGACCTCCTGGTTTCATTTGCCATAGAAGATTGTCATAAAGGTATATATTTAGTAAGGCTTGTAAAGATTTTGTATGCATTTGAACAACCGGTTGAATAAAGCTAATATTACCAGTAATCATTTATTCCTATTGCAGATATGAGGATGAAATTAACAAACGGACAGCTTGTGAAAATGATTTTGTGGTGCTCAAAAAGGTAAGTGGTCCATATTAACATATTAACATGGAAATGTGAAGCCACAATCATATTTTTTTTATTTCGTATACATCCCCACTCATTTGCACTTACACATCTATTTGCAGTGCTAAAATTAATAATCTAACATGCCTGGCATTCACAATTACCCCATTACCTATGTTAAATCCAATACCAACATTTCTGAACCATTGATGTGCAGCTTATCTTAGGACAGAGGTACAGATTGTTGCTATTAGCACATTTTTTAAAAAAAACTCTCTTCCAAAAGTTCACATATCTATGCATTAAAAATTGTTGGCTTCTAACCTGGGGTATATTTATTTTCTAAAAGTGCAGCTTAATTATAGGGATTTGTTCTTGCAATGTCCACCACAGCTGATATCACTACTGATTGTAAATGAATGTGGGGTAATGGTTACGGTATTGGGATAAAAGTGGGGAGAGCCAGGTTGCAGTCCACCCACACCCATGGAAGCTCACAAGATAAAATTTGGGCCTTTGGCTCTCTGGCAATTCAACCTACCATATAGGGTAGTTCTAATGCGGAATTCTAGGAAGCTCAAGCACTATAAATGCAGGCTTGAGCTCCACAAAGCAAGCTCTTCATTGAACAAATAAATAAATGCTTTGTTCTGTATTATGTACCCAGTATAGTACCTGCATAGAATATTGCTTCCTTAAAAAGCCTTAAAGCAGGAATTTCTGTGTTAAATTTAAAGCTCTGACCCAACATTGCCTGCTCTGTCCAGACTATGATAGTATTCATATGTTTCTTCCAAAGGATGTGGACAGCTCATATATGCACAAAATTGATCTGGGATCCAAGTCTGACTCCTTGACTCAATATATCCAGTTCTTAAGAGCGCTCTTTGATGCGGTAAGGATCACTTCTGCCTTATTACACCTATTAGCACCTAAAGCAAATTCATTTTTCCACTATGTGACCAATAAATGCATGTCCCTGTAGAGCAACGCATGCCATCCCATGTAGAGCTTTCTGACTGTGTTTTACTGCCTGCATAACCCTGTCGTTTACCTGTTATAAAAGCTGTCCTATAAATTCATTAACCATGAATAGCTCCTTTCAAAACAATTATTATCTTAATCCTAGGTAAAATAAATTCATCCTTATCAGATTGTTTGGTGTGGGGTGAGATCAGGAGGGACTTTTTCTGTATTGCAAGAATACCTGAAAAGGTGGACATCTTAATGGGCTTTCAGAGAGAGATTCACATCTCCCATGCCATGTGAGGCCAATACGCATCACATCTTTTCCCCATGGAAGTGAATGGTGGTTGTTGCCACTTCTACTTTGATAGCTATGAACAAAGTGACACTGAGAATTCAAAATCATATATAATGATAGAAATCCCATCTGTAAAGGATATCTGCTTTGATAGAGGATCTGGAATCTTTATTGGAAAATCATTCCTATACTTATTTTCCTGTGAGCTCCTTTCAATGTAGATACATGTCTAACAAGTTAATCCAAGGGCACGAACACACTCTGAGGCCACGGTTCCACATCAGGGGTTTTCCCTTAACAATTGTATTGTTTGAAACTCCGACAGGAGCTGGCTCAGCTGCACTCCCAGGTTAAAGAGACGAACGTTATTCTGCAAATGGACAACAACCGAGATCTGGACCTCAACAGCATCATTGCTGAAGTCAAAGCTCAGTATGAAGACATTGCCAATCGGAGCAGAGCTGAGGCCGAGGCGTGGTATCAATCTAAGGTGAGGATCCTTGGCCAAAGCAGATGTAATTTCATCTCACCTTGAATGACAAAAAAAGTCCCCTCAGTTATACAGCAAATCTCTGAGGGGTTTCAATGTTAACACTGGAACAAAATATAATTTCATACTCTCTGATGCTCCTGAATTAAGAACTACTGAAATCTGAAAGAACCAACCAGCAGTTTGTCCAGAAAGTTAGTCTTTTGCAAGAAAATCAAACAACGGTTTTTATGGCAACCCAAAGAGGTTCATGAGATCATTATATCATATTTTTAAAGATCTTATCTACTTCACAAGATATAGGGAGCACTATTTTTACGTCATACACATAGGGCATATTACACCCAAAAATGGTTTGGTGAATGACCGCTGTCAATAAATAGTTATCCTCATCCCTTCCATTTGTATTTCATTTTTCTAAAATGTAACCTTCCCCATCTTGGGTGTATTTATAAGATGTTTCAGCTGCTAGAAAACAAAAAGGTATGGCCTGACATACGATGTACTGTACCTTTCTGTTTTTCCTCAAGTGGAAAAGCATGTTCTGCTCATTTTGTAAGCTGGCTCTTTTGTCTTGAGAGTCTTCCAGCTTCCTGGAATGGTTCCCAAGAATCTGCTTTTTGCCCTGAGAGCACATCTGCATATAAATTTATATTCAGTATATGCATTCCTTTATTGAAAATATATTTCTGTTCCTGTAACTAAATTTTGACTCTTCATCTAAAGAAAAACTAGATCTTACTGTACATTAAGCTTATGCAATTCAAAAATTTCTTTTTCAAGTGCTTCGAATGCTCAACCTTTTTTCCATACATTTGCAACCAATACCAATTATTTTATGCATGTGAATAAAGAACATTTTGTGAGTGGAACTTATTTAAGATGCACAAGATGATAATTTCTTTCTACTTTGACTTTCAGTTCCAAGAATTGCAAAGTACAGCTTTCAAACATGGAGATGACTTGAAATCAACCAAAGATGAGATTGCAGATATGAGCCGGTTGGTCCAAAGACTTCGCTCTGAAATTGAAATTTTGAAGAAAGCAGTAAGGCATCCCTTTTCCTTCCCTTTTTCTCCTCTCCTCTCTTTATTTCTTTTTCTAAGGAGAAATTAATTGCTGTAGGATGGTCAAAGATTCAACTCTTGTAACTGCCTAGGCTCACCCCCCCTCCCTTTAAACAGGATTTATGCAATTCATATTTCAATAATTCCTTATTCTTTCTTATTTTGTTATTAAAAAACTTTCTATGGTTTCTGGGGAGAAAGGGCAATGGGCCATTTTCCAATTAGGTGGCTGATGGCTTCTCCAGATTTCTTTAGTTTCATTTGTAATTGCTTTCAAAGCATATCTTCAAGGCTCCTCAGGGCTTCAGGTTCAGGATCCCATTTTCTATTATTCACTTTTACTGGTTTGGTATTCTCACCTTATTTTTCCCACCTGAATACTTTCGCTTCATCCAGTTCATATGGAAACCACCTGGGGTTTTTTTTTTTGGTGGGGGGGAGGGAGGAGAAAGACATATTTTAATTGAAGTAAAAATAACAAGACCATAGAATGGTGTTTTTAAAGAAGCAGTGTCTTACTATGAATAAACCACAAGAAACAAAGCAGATACCTTACACCCAACAGCAACAGAAAGAAACAAATTCCCTCAACTACTAGTCGAATTCTTTCTCCAAGATCTTACATTCTTCTTTAAGAAACAATTAAAAGTAAAGATGGGGCTTGGAAAGAATGCTCATTTAATGTTGGTGCTGCAACTAAAAAGTCACTTTGAATTAATGAATTAATTGATTAATTCGTATTGCCAATTGCCTGCATGTACACAAAACGTGATATCTCAGGGAACTTTTGTCTCTTTCTTTCTCAGATTGCCAGCCTGCAGTCCAACTTAGCGGAAGCTGAGCAACGTGGGGAGTTAGCCCTGAAAGATGCTCGGACAAAGTTGCTTGACCTCCAGACTGCCCTAACAACAGCAAAGGATGAGCTGGCTCGCCTGCTGCGGGATTATCAAGAATTGATGAATGTGAAGCTGGCCTTGGATGTTGAGATTGCTACATACAGGACTCTGTTAGAGGGAGAGGAATGCCGGTAAGTCACTGACCAGGATATTAGATTCTTTTGCCTATTTCCATCTGCAAAAGACCAGTTGCTAAGATCTGAGTTTTGTAGGTGATTGTTTATTCTGGTCAGATGCAGAACAGACCATAGATCGCCTAGTATAGACATGGGTGGGGACTTGGACAATCCCTTTAGCCAGTAATGTAGCTAGATTTTTTTTTAAAGAAACAACAATGCATAGTTCTAGAGAAAATTATTTGGAACAGCAGAAAGAGAAATATGTTGATACAAGACTAAAGCCAAAAAGGAGATAGCTTAAATCAGGGATGTCAAACTCAAGGCCTGGGGTGCAGATCTGGCCAGTGAGGTGCTTAGATGTGCTCGTGGGGGGGGACCCTGGAAACAGTGAAGGATTGGCCCACAGTGCCTCTGCCAGTGAAAGCAGAGGAAGCTCAGGAGCTCAGGCCGCTGTGTGCGGCCCTCCTGAGGTCCATTTTCACTGGCAGAGGTTTACAGGAGGCTGTCGAACAGGGGTGGGATTCAATTTTTTTAACAACCGGTTCTGTGGGTGTGGCTTAGTTTGTGGGTGTGGCTTGGTGGCCATGTGACTGGCTGGGTGTAGCCAACTCAATATCACTCACATCGAGGCACGTATCTCCTCACCTGGCCTCTCATGACTGTGGGGATGCTGCAACAGTTGTAAGTGTGAAAAATGGTCATAAGTCACCTTTTTCAGTGCCATTGTAACTTTGAATGGTCACTCCACACAAGCAAAGTACCAGCAAAGGAGGGGAAAAAAACTCCAGAGAAGTTCCTGAGACAGGAAGTCTAGTCCTGCCAAGAATGTAATAAAGGTTAACGGAGAGGCAGTTTCTGTAAGTAACACCAGAATGTTTCCTTCCTGCCTTCCTTACAGGATTAGGCCAGTAATTTCTTCTAACAACAGGTCCTCCAAACTGCTTAGAAGGTTAACAACCGGTTCTGGAGAATAGGTGCAAACTGGTAGAATACTGCTGTCAAAGCTGAAAACGGAGCTCGGGAGCCTGTTTTCTCTTTCAGAGCACTTGGGACACCACAGGCGGCCTCAACACGAGAGACGTTGAGCTGGCCACACACATCCTGTCCACACCCACTCCAGACCCCCAAGGTTAAACACACCTGATGCGGTCCTCAATGAAATTGAGTTTGACGCCCCTGGCATAAATGCTACTATAGGAGTGGTTAGAAAACCATGAATTATGAAAATGCTACTGTACAGACCTGTGTGGTTGAATCTCATTATCCTGAGAATACCCAGCTCACACATAATAACCTGACGCTCTGGCCCTGAGTGGTAAATTTTCAGGATTCAGGAAAGACTCCTCGAAGCTATTTTGAAGCAAATTTGATGTCATTATAAAAGCCATGAAAATGCTGAGAGCTATAGAATTTTCTTGACGATAAAATTTGTTCTTGGCTTCAATGCTTTGTTTTTCTTCTCTCTCTTAGGATGTCGGGAGAATTTGAAACCCCTGTTAATATCTGTAAGTACACAATCTAACCTTCAATTAAATTAGTGAGTGCCTTTGTCCTCTTTAGTGATCAAGACTGATTTCTTGTATGATTTTTCCAATCCACAGCTGTGATCAGCAGCTCGAGCACCATCAGTGGTGCAGGAGCCGGAGGATATAGTGTCGGTGGGGGATCTGGCTACGGAGCCGGAGGAGGAGCTGGATATACTATTGGTGGAGGAGCCGGTGGATTAAGCCTTGGTGGTGGTGGAGGCGGCGGCGGCGGTCATAGCCATGTTAGTGTTGGAGGAGGAAAAATGAGCCGGTTTAGTAGTGGGGGCAGCTTAAGTGGATCTGGAAGCCTCACAGGGGGCGGATACACCTATGGTGGGGGGAGTTCAAGCATGAAGATTGTATCGTCCACAAGCTCCTCAAGCAAGAGAATAATCAGCTAAGGTTTCCAAAAGCAGAGGTCACTTCCTGCTTCAAGAAACAGAAGAGTCTCTTGTTATCCCATACCCAACCAACACACCATACAGTACTTTCTGAAAATTAAGTGTGCCCTCAATTGCCCATACTTCTGCTACAGTGATCACACAATCCTCTACATTTACAGGGTAAATGGCTTCTTGGGATGACACTTGTAAGCCTAAAGTATGATCAGGAAGTTGATCTAATATTGCAGCCCTTCCAAGTTCTAGGTGGATGATCACATACTTGGAAACTTCCTCTCTCTTTTGCTTTCTAAAAGGATGTATGTATGCATGCAACAAGACCAGTGTGTCAGGGCTTCGAGCCCACTTTTCCCCCTGGCATGCTAGTTTTGCATGAACAGGCATGTTTTCTGATCAATGACAGAAGCATTTCAATCATGTAATCATCCACCTGCAGGCTCAGAAGTGGCCCATCCCAGAAAGGCAGAAGATGCGAGTTGATGTGATTGTTCTGACTGTATGTGTTTCACCCCATCTGTCTTCTTACACGCTCTGCTGCATAGACCATTGTAATTTCCCTGCACCCTCACGTTGTTGGGTTAGTGCTTCTGTGAATGGAATGGTGCTTCACATATTTCCTTCCTCCGTGTGGTCAGCGGTACTGTTGCATAACTCTATAGGAAGCAGGTAACATAGCTTGTCTCTTGGCTTCTCTGCTTCAGTGGCTTTGCCCATCTTCTTGTCACAAAGAGAATACACTAAATTGCAGATGAGGAACAGGAGCACCAAACTAGACATACTACTTTTATAAGCTCTGTTTAAAAGATCACTTTATTGTACATCCGCTGTTAAATTTTAATGTACAGTAGTTCGTGTGATTATACCAGCCTCTAAAGTTGTTAACAAAAAGCAAAATGTAAAGTTCCGGCAATACCTCGTGGAATTATCTCTCGTGTCAATAAAGTCTCGTGCTGCAATAAATACTGTCATTTTCCAAATTAGCTCAAAATATTCTCTTTTGTTTTGTAGCTGAAATCATGGAACTGCTTCAACCTGTGATTTAGAACCAAATGTGATTTTGAGCCTAATTTCATTCAGTTCTAACTTCTGGTAACATTTATCCCATTCCTGCGGCTTCTGCTTACCCGGCAAACGTAAGAATTAGAAAAAGAATAAAAGGAAGAGAGAGGACAGGGAGTGCCAGAGCGGCTGAAATGGGATACACTAGATTTTTGCTCCACCTATTAATTTCTGCAGTGTTGTTTTCCATTAGCCAACGTCCTTCAAAGATTATCTCTGAGGGAACTTGGCCCTGGACAAAAATAAAATTGCCTATCTTCGCTCTGCAAGGTATCAGGAGCCTTTTGTGGGCTCTTGCATCCATTCCAATAATTTCCCAAGGAAAGCTCACAAAACAGGCCCAAAGCTAAACTCAGGATAGATCCGTTTGCGAGTTGTCACCTTCCAGCCTCACATATTTGTGCATTCAAACTGCTCTCATGGCAGGAAAGGGGGGAGGGGAATAGAAGCTTTCTCTCCTCTTCTCCCTTTCAAATATACTATGAGAAAAGTCAGGGTTTTGTTATTTTGCATTACCTTTTACATATGAAGGAGCCTATAATTAGTTATAATTCATGCTTCCTAGACACAGCCATGGTTGCCTAGATGAGTATCCAAGGCTATTTTCAAGAGCAGTAGAAACACTGAGAAACACTTGGTTTTTGTGGAGGACATAAGCTGTTCTTTCGGCAAACTTTACTGTTTCTGGTCAATTCAACATCGCAAGTTTTTGAAGCACAATCAAGGTTGTAGAATCTCTTTACCAGCAGCAAAAGCAGGAGGAGCAGATTCATATCAGGCAGGTGCCCACTTATTCTACCAACTTCAGCAGCACCATCTAAGCATATCTAAGCAAATGTTCCCAGAATTACCTATTTTGAATAGATGCAAACATAATTCAACATTGATGCAAACATAATTCAACATTCTTTGGGTATTACTGTGCCCCCAGGATTCAGTGTATTGAGGAGGAATGCAAACCTTCTCTCTCTCCATATATAGTAACTCTAATTACCTACATCCTTACCCGCATTTTAAAGCAATAGAAGCTGTTTTTCCCCAGCAATGTATTCAAATGAGTAAATATATCTGTTGCAGAGATGCCCAAGGGATGCAGCTAAAAATAATAATAATAATAATATGGTACGTGTGATGATACACTTGTAGCCACCAACTTGATTTTTTTTTATCTCTGTCACATGTACAACATACACAAAAAACAGATGATTGTACTGCTGTTGTCCTCATCTTGATTTTAAAATCATATTTTTGGAACTCTCCTTGTCTCTTGCACCAGCTGTCTGCTTGACCATCTCTACTTCTGAATGCAGATAGAAGTCACCCTATTCCGATGCTGGTGATATGTAAAAAAATATTACACAAAGTCTTTGTATATTTCCTTACATCTCCTTGAGAGTTCTAACATTTCTGGTATCTGCAATAAAACTGCCTTGTGAACAAACTTTTCCTCACATGTCCTGCTTGTTTAATACTAGCTGCAGGAGCAATTTGTATCTGCAAACATTTTAAAGCATTGAATTAACCATCCCTTGCTCTGTTGAGAGAAGTTGGCCTTATCGAGCTAAGGCTGTAAGATCCGGTCCTCAGCATCTATGGAGCTCATGAGTCCATGTACCTTCAGGGACAGCTTTGGTGCCAGGTCTAAACAAGATGACTGATCAGTGCCGGGCTTGGCAGTAGGTTCAACTGCAATCCCCCCTAGGCTCTATTCTTTGAATTAAAACATGGGGTTGGACTAGAAGACTCATAGTAAACTAACTACTATTTATCTTAAAAGGGGAAAGGGGGTGGGGAGGAGGTTGAGATACCATTTGCTTCACCAACTGAACCATTAAGATGTTTTGGGCAAGCTCTATTTCCATCAATTTTTTCCCATTTAAAGAAATAAATCAAGAGTTAAAATATAAACTAGCAAAAAAACACAAAAAGAACAAAACAAAACTAACGAGGAAAGAAACCCCCCAAAATCAAAGGTACATTAAAAAAGAAAAGAAAATACACATATATTCTCTTGCCTAGTTGAATACTAATAAGTATATTATGACATTAGTAATTTCCTCCCCTTGTGAAACAAGTCTACAATATACAAGCTTCTGCAACTCTATTTACCCAAACAATTTGACCTATCATCTATATATACTGTAAAAAGAAATAGATAACAGGTAAGCCCAATCAGAGAAACTAACTTCAAAATCGATCAGTTCTTATTTTATTTGGCTTACGTAACAGCTGCAGAAGGCATATGATTATGCTATAAGGTTTCATTAGAGTTACATTCTACATTCCTGCCTCTAAATAACATAGAATGAATAGGCATACGGGAATCCTAAATCCAAAACAGAAGTTTGAATAATCTGCAATCTTAAAGCACATTTCTTATTATTTGTCATCCTTATTTCCACATATTATCATTATTCAAATCCTAGTATACCCACTGAAATTTGATGGGCCCCAGAATGCCATGGACAGTAGTTGGGATCTTTACATTTTGAGAAAAACATCTAAAATTAAAGAAGATCATTATTTTCTGGACAGCAAACTGCATTTGTCAACAAACAGAAATAAATCTCACACCTTTCCTAAATAACTCCATGCCCAATATTAAAAAATGGTGCAGCAATGTTACTTCCTGGGGTCGGTATGCACCTACTGTTAGACCATTCCTTTACTAAATTCAAGATATTGAGCTAATGAAATGAACTCCTTGAAGAAGACTTGGAATTACAGTTTTCATTTGAGAAATCATAATTTGAGAGAGAATATCCACGTTCTTCCCTCCACAGATCCATGGCAGAACAATTGTTAGAAGACATTAACTCCCATCATCATTTACTTCTCCAAAACATCAACAATTGGACAGGAATGAAATTTCTCTAAAGTGATTCACGTTCTCCATCTTATCTTGGTAAAGTATAAAGATCTTCTACCCCAGGATCACAACAGTAGCACTCCCTGGATTGGCCATGTGGCAAGGGAATTGCAGCTTTGTGCGCCAACCTTTGCACTGAAAGATGAAGATTGATCTTCCCAATTCTGAAAATTGAGTTCTGTACTCCCATTTTTAAAATACTCCACGCAATATTGAATAGTTGTAGGAGATGTGTGTTTATCACAGTAAATTTGGAAAAGCCAAGTAGTAGAGAGACAGATACTTTAAATTGTTTTCTTTCCCATTTTGTTCCTGAAACCAGCTGTTTTTCATCCCTTGGAATTCTGTTCCTGAGTGCGTTCATCGATGGTTGAATTCACGCAGTTAATGTCACATCTCCTTTCACCTTTGTTATGTTAAAAGCTCGCCCCCAGAAGAAGAAAAATAACAAAAAAGAGACCCAGTTTAAGGCTTACGGAATAAGTAAATTCCAATATCTGTTTTTGTATATCCTGACAAAGCTTCTTATGGTTGGATTATCAGACTGTCTTATTTTAAACCTGCCAAACTTGCCATTCCAAATGTCATTATTATTTGCTGATATCCATAGATGGCCCTTTGCTGACCCCAATTTCTCAACATGAGATTTAATGATATATACAGGATGTATTGTAGTAATGCTATGTAAAATTTTTATTATATAAATCACATTAAATGTTCAAATTTGCTGCCATTTTCTTTTAACACTTACTTGTTTGTGGTATGACCTTCAAACAGAGGAACATTTTCTCTGAAAAATATTAATTAATAAATCACATTGTGATTGACCAATGGACACTGATTTTTGATAAGCTTCTATATTGAGTAAATGTGTGTGAGAGAAATATTTTATTGATTTTATTGATATTCAAGGACTTGACTCAAATGTGGTGGAAAGTACAAGATTGTCAAACTACATTAAACTGAACTAAGAGCACTGTGTATCCCTGATGGCCACAAAACCATGGATTACTTGACTATGGATTGCTGAACAATCCATAGTCCATGTTTGCATGTTATTCTAAGCTACAAGGCAGGATTTACAAACCACAATGACTGGATTTACCAACTATATTTAGTCAATACTCAGGTACATTTGACAGCCTTCAAATAATAGAATGTAATCAACTAAATGGATAGTAAGTTAACACTTGTTGAAAAAAAGACAAAGGGAAAAATTCAAATGGATATTCTTGAGAATGTTATTGCAAGAAATAAACCTTAGACCAGAATGATTTCTGAGCCAAAGACTTTTGGCGGAAAAAGTGCCTCAAAGAGGAACTTTGGAGATATAAAGAGCACATTAGCTTTTTAAAGAAGGAAATGACAGGAACCAGTACAAACAGATAATATCTTATTTGATGAAAATCGTGTAGTCTAATATTATATTATGTGATACCATTGAACTATAGGGTGGATCATATAGCACAGGGGTCCCCAACCACCGGTCCCCAGACCAGTACCGGTCCATGGAACAATTTCTACCGGGCCACCGGTTTGCTGGGCGCCGCCATCTTGTTTTGATGAAAAAGTGCTTCCGGTGAGCTTTTCCGGGTAGAAAGCGGCGTTTGGGTGCTGAAAGAATCCTCAGGCCTTAGTTTCATCGAGGGGGGGCGGCTTCGAACAAAACTAAGGCACGAGGATTCTTTCAGCACGCATGGCAAGGCAAGCCGAGCGACCGTCTCGAAGCCGTCGCGAAGCCCATTGACACAGGTACAAAGGAGGAGTTGAAGGTGGCGGGGAGAAGCAGGGGACGGCTGGCTGGCCGGTCGCTCGGCTCGCCTTGCCATGCGTGCTGATGCTGGTACCGGGCCGTGGATGATTTTGTGATGCCGGTACTGGGCCGTGGCACAAAAAAGGTTGGGGATCACTGATATAGCAAACATCCTGCTCCAATTTCATGTTTGAAGATGTTGAAAGAGGATATCCAGTGGAAATCAATGTGTGATGGGGCCAAGTGTATATATAGTT